CCCCCATAATGCGAATATTGGTACACTTGAAGTTGTCCCAGAGGCTCCTTACATTATCTTCATATTTTTGGATTCTTTTTTTCTTTTTGCTCTTCTGATTGGATGTTTTTTGCTTCCTCATATTCCATATGGTTGATTTGATTCTCAGAATCCTTTACTGTTGAATACCTGTAAATTGCTCTTTATTTTAGTCAGAGTATGCTTAATTTCTAACTGAACCTTTTTCATGTCTTTGACATTCTCACCAAGATCCTTGAAAGTCTCATCAAGATCTTTGAGTAATCTTATAACCATGGTTTTGAACTCTGTATCCAGTAGTTGGCTTGCTTTCATTTGTGACATGTTTCTTTGTCTCCACATTTTGGCTGCTTCCCTGTGTTTGTTTTTATGCATTGGGTAGAGCTACTATGTCTCCTGGAATTGGTAGAATGGCCTTGTATAGTAGGGCCCAGTGGCTCAGGATCCCCAGTCACCTGAGCTTGGCACTCTAGGTGTACCCCTTTGTGAGCTGTGTGCATAGTCTTGTAGTTGAGTCTTGATTGCTGTTGGCGTCACTGGGAGGAATTGACCTCCAGGCCAATTGGCTGTGAGGACCAGCTCTGACTACAGTGGAAGAGCTGCTGTGCAAGAGGTAAGGCCCAGCTGTGAAGCAAGGCAGGCTGGTGCTAATACCTGGTCTTGGGCTTTTTATTGATAGGTTTGGGCATGCTGTCACCAGCTGCAGCTTGTTTGAGAGATTTTAGTAAAGTCTGAAGCCTGAGCCAGGACAGGCAATTCATATAGAAAAGCTGCTGCAAACACCTTGGGTGCGGCTGCAGATTGGATGGAGTAGGGCAGTGGTTCTCAACTTTCTGGTCCTTTAAATACAGTTCCTCATGTTGTGACCCAACCATAAAATTATTTTTATTGCTACTTCATAACTGTAATGTTGCTACTGTTATGAATCATAATGTAAATATCTGATACACAGGCGACCCCTGTGAAAGGGTCATTCGACCGCCAAAGGGGTCGCGACCCTCAGGTTGAGAACCTCTGGAGTAGGGTCTCAGGGAATCCTCAAGGTGGAGTAAACACTGTGAGCCACACTGATGGAAACTCAAGTATGGCTGCCAGTCAGCTCTGCAATGGGGGAGGTCCTAGCATAGGAACAATGACCCTTGTGAGCACCCCTGTCTGGGAGGAAGCCACCTCTGAGTTCTTGCCCTGATGTCAGACAGTCCAGTTCCTCTCTCTATGTGTCTGGGTTCCCCAGAGCCTCCTGGTGCTGGAGCTCAGAGGTGTGGTGCGCTGGCCCTTTAAAAGGAACAGCTGCATCTCAAGCAGCCTCTGTGTCACTCAGCCACAATCCCTGCTGGTTTTTACAGCCCAAAGTTTCAGGGACTTCTCTTCCCAGCTCTGGAATCCTGGGCTGGGGGTCTGGTGTGGGGCTGGGGCCCCTTGCTCCTCCCAGGCGGCCTCCACAGAGACCATCTCCCTCCCGATTAATAAAAACAGCCCACATGGGTACTGGACCAGCCCCTTCAGCACCTCCACCCCTCCTACCTGTCTCAGTGTGC